GATCTAAAAGTGAGCCACACACAAATCCAGAGAAACCAAAGAAAAGAATGCTGTTTTAAGGACCTGGGAGGTGCCGTGGTAAATGAAGACTCCACGGGAACAAACTGAAAGTTGTAAGTATATACGAAGAGGTCTGTCAGGGAAAAGTGCAGCCAATGTTAATATGAGAACAGTTTGCATGACATCGATGTAACCTGGCAGCCAAGAAGAGTGGACTGGAATGCACATGCATGAACAACAATGACTTCACTGTAATAGTCAGTGGGAGTGATAGGCGCTATTAAGTTAGCATGTGTACTGTGTGGCCATCTCATTCAAAATGACTGAGCAAGTAAAGTGACAAATCTGCATCAAATTTTGCATTAAGCTTGAACATTCCTCCACGAAACCATTGAGATGATTTAGAAGGCCACAGCTGTGGGCAACTGGGGGTTGACAGCTTCATCCTGACCACAGCTGGCTCGTGCATCATGTCTCCTGCAGAGTCTTTTGGCAAAACATCAAATCACCCAGGTGACTAAGCCCCGCTACAGCCCAGATTTGGCACCCTGTGACTTCTGGCTTTTCCCAAAACTAAAATCACCTTTGAAAGGGAAGCGATTTCAGACCATTGATGAGATTCAGGAAAATATGATGGGGCAGCTGATGGTGATTGGGAGAACTGTGCGAGTTCCCAAGGTGCCTACCTTGAAGGGGACTGAGGCATCGTCGTCCTATGTACAATGTTTCTTGTATCTTGTATCTTCTTCAATAAATTTCTCTATTTTTCATATTGCATGGCTGGATACCTTCAGGACAGACCTCATACAGTAACTTTCCATTGGCTGAGTTATGGCAGTCCCTCATTGGCTGAGCTGTTACTGGGCAAGGAGAAATCTTTTCTTCCTCCTGCTGAGGTAGTAATGTGGTATCACTCCCTGTTGAAGATGCAAGGTACATATCTCTGTTCGGATCAGTAGTATGCATTGAGTGACACATGTGTGCAAGTTGTCTCTTTAGCCTTCTAACTCCATTTTAACTGAGCTTTATGTTTATTAATTTTCACAGAAATAATAATGGAAATTAAGACATAGTTCAGTTTAGGAAACTTTTATTAAGAGTATATCAGGTTCTAGGAAAGATGTGCAAAAGACAAGGTCTATGCCTTTGGATAGCTCACAGTGAACTGAAGGAGCCAAACACATGAATAAATCATGTCAGAAGATAGTAGGTAAGTGGCCAGCACACTTTTGGAATTGCTTAGAAATCATTATGAATAATCATGCAATCAGTGATATAGTGTTCTCAATGATATAAGTTTGTTATGAACACCAGAATGCATGGTTGAAACTTTGTCTATCTCTACCTGACCCCCATTCATAGAATTCTAGAGCGAGAAGCACTTGGAAGATAATATGTTATCAATATCTTTGTTATGGATGAAAAAACAGTGACCCTTCAGGATCTGAATGTGCTCTCTATTTATTGTCATAAGGAAGAGTTTTGGGTAAATTAATTCTTAATTCTATTTAACAACACTTATTTGGCACTTAGAGCTGTACTAGCTGCCAGAACATAACAATAAATAAGAAACAGTCCTTCATCTCAGATTGCTCAAGATCTGAAATGACTGAACAAAGACCAACAAGCAAACAGACACTCAAAAATGCAAGGTGATAATGAGTGCCCTGGAGCTGTGCACACAGTGGGGTGGGAATAGGGTAATGGTGCGTACCTCAGTGTACAGGAGGGAGGGATGGCTTTGCAGAAGAAGGAGTGTTTGAACTGAAGCTTCTAGAATGAGTCAGGTGTATTCCCAATAGAAAACATTCATGGAGACCAACAGCTGTGCAATGGAATGGAGGTGTAAGAGCATGGCATGCTCAGGACTTCCTAGGCTCACAGTGTGAGTACACAGGGAGGAAAAGAGGGAGGGCAGATAGCGGTGGTCTAGTGATAGCCAACCAGCTCCTTGTCCTCGAGGAGCCCCTGAAGAGTGGTACGCAGGTCAGATTTTTGAGGAAGAAATAACACTTTACAACAAAGGTGAAAGCTAGAGGCAGGGACACCAGGAGACTAACTTGGTAGTCCAAGCAAGATGCAAATGGGGCCTGTCCATACGACAGTGTGGCAGAGGAGATTGGCATAGCAGGTGCACATGAGAAATACATGAAGACCTCTAAGTTTGGTTGGATGTGGATAATTAGCAGGGATTCTAGATGCATTCCGGGATTCTGGTGTGGACCAGAGCAAGAGTAGATGGGGGTATCACTCATTGAGTCAATGAAAATAGGAGAAGAAAATATTTGAGGGTAGTGATTTCAATCTGTGATTTGGGAGTGATGGGGTCCAGAGAGGTCCAGAGAGTAGATTCCTAGCAAATAATTGAACGTGTTGGTTTGGAGATGGGGAATGAGGCTTAGGTACAAGAGCACACAGTGGAGAATTATCAGCATATAGGTGGTGACTGCAGCCATGGGTAAGAAGATGGAAGATATATAGGCCAATGTCAGGAAAGACACCTTGTAGTGACGTTATAGAAGGCCTTGAATAATCTAGGAAGGTTTTACAAGGTGAGACTGCTTTGGCTAAAGAGACTGTGCAAGCAGAAGTTGAATTAAAACCTAATTCATTAAATAAGTATATGAGGAGCATGTTATGTGGTTTGAGACACGGGTGAGAGCAGCGAACAAAAAAAGGCAAAGTGTTTTGCCCTTCTGCAGCCTAACTAACTGCTTAGGTTGGAGAATCATGTATGTAGTTAATTTCCACAATAGGAAGTACTACAAAAGGAAAGTACTTAGGGCAATTTAACAGTACATAATTTGAGGGAGGCATTTGGGGAAGAGGCTGGTGCTTGGCCTGAGGGGTCAGAGGAAGATATCCCTGAGGAAGTGACATTTCAGCTGGACCTAAAAGATGAGTAGGCAAGACCCAGGGGGGCAGAAGCAGAGAGCACTCCAGGGAGAGTGGACATCATGTATAAAAGCCCTAAGATGGAAGCGTGTGTTCCAGGACCTGAAGGATGCCTTTTCAGCCTGAGGGAGCAAGAGAGCTGGGTGCTTGAAGTGAGATGGTGACATAGGTGACCGAGCTCCCTATAGCACACCTGGGAGCTGCTTCATGAATGAGCCGGTGCAGCTGCCCTTCTTCCCTGCTGGCCTTGAGGACCTGGTTTTGTCAATCCAGGTTTACTCCAAAGGAAAACATTTTTACAGTAGTGGGATCCTCAAGGAAGCAGTGAACCACAGCCCAGAGAGTGGCTCTTTTCCTTGGCAGCTACCTGGCCTGAACCAGCACCAGCGCTCCACCTCAAGGTTCACCCTGAGGCATTGATTGGCAAGCAATGAGGAGGTGATTTTGTGCATGGTGAAGACTGTGAGAGTTGTCTGGATTTGGAAAGAGGCTGTTCAAGCAGAAAAGACAGGCAGAGGAGTGGAGAAGCCAAGAAATTAATGTGTTTTGGTCAACACAGCTCACCTGGGAGTATAACATTTTAATTTGGCAGCAGCAGAACATGCCTCTTCAGAGCCCAGTGTGTCCAGGAATTAGCTCAAGAGTCAAAATTCAGCCTTGGCACATATTGGCCTTGACTCTGTGTGTGTGTGTGTGTGTGTGTGTGTGTGTGTGTGTGTGTGTGTGTGTCATAACAAACCAATTGGGAAAATAACCTTGGAAGGAAACTTGATAGATTTTTGAAAGAAAACAAGAACTCCTCTGAAAAAGCCATCCTCCTAGGCACCTTGTAAAAGAAACTAAATTAAATTATAATTCCATTTTGCAAAAAGTCTTTAATTTGTTTTGCCAATTTTTTGGCCTTTTTTCCCCATTATTCCTGTCAGGTTGGCTTATTAGGTAAAAAACTGGATGACCAGGTGCTGTAATTCACTATTGTTTTTCTCCTGTTGATGATGAGTGCATCTGCATGTTCCTCCCAGTCTCCAAATACGTATTTTGAGGTAATAAGCTGTTACATCCAAGGTAATGATTTAAAGATTAAATGTAGGTTCTTCCAGGTTTTGTGGTAAAGGAGAATTGCCAAAAAAAAAATCAATACTTGGCTTTAGCACTTGGTAACAATGGATCCCAGTGCCTCTATTTTCTCATCTATAAAATGGGAATGAATAAATCTGCTCCACTTACTGAAGAGGGTATTTTAGAAAGTGAGTGAGGTAATGCATGGAATAGTGCTTTATACACTGTGTCACCATCCACGTGTTAAGTATGAATATGATAGTAATTCTCATTGCTGTGAACAAGGAGATTATTCACCCTAAGACTCAAAGACTCTTTACATCTGCCATACAAATTTTTATATGTGTGCACTTTATATCTCTCCTCTTTCTCAGTTTTCAAAGACAGACATAAAAATAGCATCTTAGAGCTACGGGAAGGGTGCCCACCCACCTCCCATTTTTCAGAGAGGGGGAAAAAGTTATTTTGTGACTGTCAAAATCATATTTTAACTATCAAATGTATTTCCAACCAGCCAGCAAAATTGTGAAGTATATCTCTCAGTTTCCCTTGGTGTATTAACAGTATAAATATCACAAATTTTACATGAAGATGGGAGAGAAAGAAAAGAAAATGAATGGTGAAAAAATATGAATGGCGATAGCATTGGCCAGGGATTAGAAGAAATACCCATGGGTTAACATATAAGAATTGTTATATTATTCTTTGTGTCTGTTGAGGGGAGAATAGTTTAGGTCTACTAAGTCTGCATAAGCTGGCACATTTTGTAAAGCAGTCCTGTTTCTTCTCCCTATTCACTCTGTAGCATGAGAGGCTTGCCTCCCTCCCACCATTTCAGCAGTGATTTCCATTACTCAGCTTAGAGCATTCCCTGCTTTTATGGATGAACTAAGAAGAGTTGGACATTTGACATGAACTGCAGAAATAAGAAACATTGAGATGTTCTCAGGCACAGAATAGACCTTTTGTAGAGTGGCAGGAAGAGTAGTGGCAAGAAAAGATCTTCTCCTTTCTGATTATAAAATGCTTTCTCTTTCAAATCTCAGGTAACCGTGACAGATGGTGGTTCCTCTCCAAAACAGTCAACCATTTGGGTGGTGGTTCAGGTCCTGGATGAAAATGACAACAAGCCCCAGTTCCCAGAGAAGGTCTACCAGATCAAGCTACCAGAACGTGACCGGAAGAAGAGGGGAGAACCCATTTACAGGGCTTTTGCATTTGATAGAGATGAGGGCCCCAACGCAGAAATCTCCTACAGTATAGTGGATGGGAATGATGATGGAAAGTTCTTTATTGACCCTAAAACTGGCATGGTTTCTTCCAGAAAGCAGTTTACAGCAGGAAGTTATGACATCTTAACGGTAAGATTATTCTGAACCTCAGTGACATTAATGAGGGGAGGGAGTCATTTTCTTATTCATGTATATTCCCTGAATAATAAATCTTTAGAGTAAAGTGTATAGCCACATAGCAGTGGAAGGTGACTTCTGTTTCAATGCTATTCCTAAATAACGTTATCATTTCCTTCGGTTGTGTTTTATCAGCAACCCTCCCTCATTGCCAGTCCACAGCCTGCTCCATCACATATTCAACATACTTCCTGCAACCCTAAATTGTTTCAAGGTACTGAACCAGATGTAAACTGAGGGTAGGGGAATAGCAGAGTGACACATCCCACCAGCTACTCAACGTCACTCTATGGCTCCAAGAATTCCCAAAGAAAACAATGCTTGTAATTGTTGATAATGTGATAGAACATGAATTTAACTGTGTGAATTGTGAGACACAAATCATAGATATGTATTCTCTAAAAAGTAAGGAAAAAAAACTTTAGTAAAAAGTGACTAAATGTCACTTTCTTCAGTATTAGAAATTTTAAAATAAAAACAAACACTAGTACCATCTCAAATAGAGAGTTAAATTCGCATATCTAAGGTGCCAGCCTGCTCCCCTTACCCCAACCACAATAGACATGTAGCACCTGTGCCATAAAGGGGACTGGTCATCCTGCAAATGATGAGCACTTTCGAGGTCCCAACAAATGTCAAGAGTTAGTGCCATCTGCCATCCTTCTCTTAGTCCTCAATCTTCTCTGCTATTTATGGTCAGCTCTTTTTTATTTTAAAGGATAATCTGAGTCTCTTAATTTATTTTTCACTTCTATGGTCTGGAGTTGAGTTCTTTCCCTGCTCATTAATATATCCAGAACAGTGGGCAGAGAAAAGAAGATAATAAAAAACTAACCCTGTTTCTATCATTAAAAGCTCTGATATAATAAGTGCTATAGCAGCTGTGTGAAAATTGCCAGTGGGAATCTTTGAGGACTGGATGGACTGCAGCGGATACAGTTGGTGCCCCATCCAGCTTCCCTTTACCGGGCTGTTGCAGCCATCCCCCAGCTGTTATAACTGACTATTGGCTCATAGGTGCCATCTTCTCCAGAGAGTCATCCTTGACTGAACTTCTTGGTTCTACATTCCCATCCCAGCCAGCAGCCCACAGCCAATGACTGACTGACACCCAATACAAAATCCCAGCCCCCTAACCTCCACACATATCCAACTCTGTGGTGCAGTTAATGATACCAAGCTCCCTGTGGCATAAGGCTGAGATTAGACTTTAGCTAAGACCATCTTCTTGCTTAACATCTTCCCTGTCCATCCTGCTTTCTTTACTTCCTTTCTCCTGAGAACACTTCTTCTCTTCCCAAAAATCATTTGTACTCAAATCCTTGCTTGGGCTCTTGCTCCAAAAAAACTTGACCTAAGCCATCTACTGTCAATGGTCCTCTCTATCTCACATGAATTTTCCAGGGCAAAGTGATCATCCATTAACACATAGCATTAAGGAACTATGAATTGCCACTGTTTTTAAAGGCTGTAATTATTATATGCATCTACAATTTTTTTTAAAAATTTTATTTATTGATTTTAGAACAAGAGAGGAAGCGGGGAGAGACAGACAGACAGACAGAGACATTGATTTGTTGTTCCACTTATTTATACATTCATTGGTTGATTCTTGTATGTGCCCTGACCTGAGATCAAACCTGCAATCTCAGCATATCGGGACAATGCTCTAACCAGCTGAGCTACCTGACCAGGACCTAAAATGTTATTTTTAATGTAATATTTTAAAATCCTTATTTTTATTTTCTCTCAGTGGTGAATTCTTGTTGGACTTAACTGCCCTTTCCCCAATTTAAGCCCAGGACACCAAAGCAGTTAACCCTGTACATGTGAGTGAGGAGGCATGAGGAAAAGCTTTCCTCAGCTTTTATATAAGACCACACAGAAGAATCATTAACCACCTCTTTCCTGCTCCACTGCCTTCAGGAACCCAAGCTTCCACCAAGACAGTTCTTTACCATTCAGCTGGCATAACTGAAGGGGCTGTGAGGTGGTTAGAGCAAGGCTGCTGTCTTTCCCATACCTACTCCCATCCCTCGTCTGGGAACCTGTGTGAGTGCAGTCCTTCTCCAGAGTAAAGCAGAAGGAAGGAGCTGCAAAACATGACCATAGACAACACGTGCGTCAACGCGCGCGTGCACGCACACACACACACACACACACACACTTCTGTGCACACACACTTTATTCACACTCAAGCTGGATTCACAATGCACTTTATTCCCATTCATGACCATAAAACACTAACAATTGTAAGTGCAAAGTTTGTATTCCAAGTTTTCCACATCTATAAAGTTGGCAGTGGTCCAAATCACCTTCTGGCAAATGTGACATGGGGTCCTTAGGTGACCAAGTTGTTTCCTCCCAATTCCTGAGGTCATGCTTCCCCAATCTCCACTCTCTTCTCCCTTTTGCTGACAGTGTGGTGAGTGTGGACGCTCAGCTCAACAATGTATGAGTGACAGATCCAAACTTCCACAAGCTCCAGTCTCTAAGGCAGCTTTCTGTGTTCTCTCCCTGTGTGAGTAGATAAAGGCGGTGGACAATGGGCGCCCACAGAAATCCTCCACGGCCCGTCTGCACATTGAATGGATTAAGAAACCACCCCCTTCACCTATACCACTTACCTTTGATGAGCCGTTTTATAACTTCACAGTCATGGAGAGCGATAGAGTCACCGAGATTGTGGGGGTGGTGTCTGTGCAGCCAGCTAACACCCCTCTGTGGTTTGACATAGTTGGTAAGTTTGAGTCCTCCGGAGCTGTGTGGGGCAATGTGATCATTGACTGTTTGGAGTAACTAGCAAAAAAACTCCCCCAAACAAAACCCACTAATGATTAGTGCTAAGATTAAAACATGTGTAGTGCTGGAATGCAAAAGAGCCAGTAAAATGAATAATAGACCTGTGCTTTCGTTCCGACTCTGTAGCTAAGCTGAACAGAAAGTGCTCTCTGGCTGAATTTTCCATAGTATGTTATTTACTGCAATCTTAATGTCTCTCTGTGTGTCATTTAAATTCTATTGTCACACTTGGCTAATCTCATTTCTAAATGTATTGATGGTACTAGACTTGCTGTCCTTCATTTCTCTCTTTTCTTCACCTTTTTTCTGCATTCTGTTCTTTTTTTTTTCTGCTCCCGACTGCCCTGCTTCAAGGTGGCAAGCATGCTCGAGAGATGTTCTATATTCTGCAGACAGCTTGTGGGCAGAACTGTTCAACAGAAGGTACCCTTAGTGCAAACACGTTTGCTAAAATACAGCTATCCAATCTGCCTTTTACAGTTTTTTTAAGCGAGTTAAATGACATCTTTCATAACTGCCTGTGGCATGCTGAAGTTCAGCCCACAGACTTCATACATGCCTCTAACGGCTATTTCGTTACTTGGATCCAGTGATTCTTTTGTTTGAGATTTGATGGGGTTTGGATTTCGGGTGGGGGTTGTTTTGATTTATTTTTAATTTTTTTCTTTGCTTTTGCAGTATGTGGGCTTTTATTGTTTTGTTCGGTAGGTTGGTCTATTTAACGGAGCCTTTTCCAATTGAGAAGTAAATTAAAATATATACCAACTCGTCTGTTTTGCAGCAGTAATGCCATTCCTAGACACACAAAAACCCACCAGGAAGGGTTTCCTGGCTGCTGTCCACAAAAGGAAGGGCAGGAAATGGAACCTAGATATATAGCCAGTGAGAGCTTCCCTCAAGAGCTGAATAGAAAAAGCAGATGGGAGCATGCAGGACAGACCTTGGGAGCCAATCTTTGAATTCCTTGAAAGCAAGCAAGCAAGCACCAGGCTGCAAAAGGAGAGGGTAAAACCGCACTATTGCCCTCAACAAACCGGCAGGGAGAGGTGGTGAGAGGAAATAAGTTCAGGACCAGGAAACATCACAGGCTGTTGCTAAGAGGAGAGGGGAGAGCATGTGCCAACCCTGGATCTGACTCTGCTTGAGCTGGAGCTGACTTCCCACGGTTCTCCGTGGGAGGCAGGGAATCCAGATTGCTGGTCTGGGGGAATCATTTCCTCATTTCCTTCCACATGTCACTGCCTGGAAAAGACGAGGAACCTGCCTCTCTTCCCAGGAATGGCTGGGTCTGGGGAAGCATTTAGAACATTCCACGTCTGTTTTAATGAGGCACAGAAAAAAAACGCCCCATGACCCCCAGTCAGACCTCAGTAGAGGGTCCTCTGAAATCCCAGAAAGAAAGGACTTGTTTTCCACATATTTCATTCTATGGAATAATGATAGAATGTCTTTGTTTTCCTTAATTGGCATTAACCACAACATCCCTGTACATGGCCATCCTCATTCCAAGCTTTCAGCTCCTTCTTCATCTCCACTTAATGCATTTGAAATGGAACTTCCTCTGATCCATGAAAGATGTCTTTGCTTCTGTATCTCCTCAGTAACTTTTAGCTCATTAAGTTAATATCTGTTGCAGCGTCTTCTCTCTTGGTGAAACAAAGGGTTGCATACACGCCCCTCCTGGTTGTCTGACCTATCACCTGCGGTGATTCCTTCACCACCACTCCCAGTCAGACTCCCAGAAAGTGCATTTCAGCGTCAATATGTGCCCGTGGTCCCAGGCCTCCATGGGCATGTGTGATAGTGACTTCTTTTAAATAACCCAAAGGAGAGTACACTCAAAACTTGACAAACAACAGGGTTCCTTGTGTGCTGTCCTAAGCTTTGGGAGGAGTCGCCCCCTTTCATCAGCCACCAGTTTATCTCCCTCCTTCCCTGACCATCCAGTATGCAAGCACCATGACATCCTGACAGCAGTGTTTCTGTCCCTTGCATGATCCATGCATGCAACCTCCTGATCCTCAGCACATCCCACCACCTTCTCCGCCCAACCCAGGATGTCCTTGCTTGTACCCCTCTTCAAAAACTATGCAAGCACACCCTTCTCTGATGCTCAGCCTGACCAGCCATCTGACCCGAGTTAACCAAGTCAGTTTTGCAATTCCTCAGCATTCCTGCATGTGTGTGTGTGTATGATTTCATATAGGTAAGGCATGCCTAGTAGTGCTGCATGTAGTCTTACTTGCATGTTTTTATATTATCATTATTAGTGCTATAGTATATTTTCATTTGTGTTTGTCCTATCTCCATTCTTAAACCTTAAGGTCAAGGCCTTTGTGTCCTCATTCCTTCCTGCTGCCAATGCTTCTGTTGTGGTCTACCAAGTGTGCGTGGAATAAACAATGGTGACCGATGGAGATGGCCCAGGTAGCTAATGCATTCATCCTACTGATGCTGCCTGAGACCAACTCAGAGGCAGTGTGACCTTCCATTGTGTTCCTAGCCATATCAACCACTGCACCTTCAACAAAATGAGAACACTCCAACGTGAGAGGAGCATTTTACAAATGATAGCCCTCTCTGGAAGGAGTCCCTTTAGGTTGCTCCAAATTTATACCCGGGAATCATTATCAAAAACATGGTATCCATTTTCTGTTTCTGCATCTTTGCATTTCTAAATGCTGTAGTCTCCCCATAGATTCCTCTCCATGTCAGTGGACTGAGTAGCTCTTTTAATGAAGGCCACAGAGCAGGGTTGTCCCTCTGGTCTGTGATGCTTCCCTCAGAGAGATCTCACTGGACATCTGGCAACATCTAGCCGAGCTTCTACAAATGAAACTTACTCAGCCGAAGGCCCAAACAGAACATGATTTTATTTCCACCCCTACATCTAGCCAACAACATCTTGAAACGCCAGCACTAGTTCACTGCAAACATAAAAGCTTTTTCCCAGGTGCTGGGTTGCTTTCAGTATAGATATGATCTCTCTTCCACCAAATCTTACTTTTGAAAATCCTTTCTAATGTAACAGAGTCATTTTTTTTCCATCTGTTTTCTCTCTCTACAAAACTATTGTTTTATCATATTCAGATGCTTCATTCTCACTCTCAGGATTTCTTGCTTAATTATCCTTAGCCACTGAAACTTTGCTCTCTCTTTCCTTATTCCTTATCTAAGCATCTTCCCTGGTCAAGCAAACAATAGAAGGGAAATAGAGGGAACAGTGTTTCTCAGTGGGTAAGAAACCTAGCAGTGCACTAGAGTTAAATGCTAAGAGTAGACACAAGGCATGCAGTGTCAGCATGGACCTGAAATGAGGTCTCAGGTTAAAGTGGAGGTCTCTTCTGGGCAAATACTCTATGACTCTTCCAAGAGGAGTCAACCCTTGTTTCCATTATAAAACTAGTGCGTTCAGACACCTATACTGACACTAGGATTACAGAGAATATAACACCCTGGCCTAGCACTTACAGCTTATAAATGCTATAACTGGTGAATTCTCATTAAGTGAGCACAAATAGTGTTTCAGCATGCTTTTCCCCCTGAGATCACAGTCTCCTTATTTCCATATTTACACATCTACCCAATTCTTATATAACTGCATTTGTTTCATCCCACCATAATACAAATTCACAAAAACTGGATGGCCAGCATGATTTTCTTCCAAGCCTGGACTTCCTGCATCAAGATCTGCCAGTCACTTTCCTGTGCCTCCAAAGAGACCTCTGCTTACAAGATGTTATACAGCCAAACTCACTTTAGCTTCCAGAAATAGAAGCCTGACTTGTAACCCAGTTAAAAAAGCTGTTATTAAAAGGAAACATAATAAAATTCAGCTGTTCTGTGTTTAAACATCCCAGCACACAGCATGTTCCTTCTGTGCCTTAAAAGGGGGGAAAAATGACGAGAACAAAATTAACCCATAATCCTTTGTGGCTTTATCATATATCTTCACACTTCTCAGGAGACTGTGATTTTAAGTCAGTAGCTCTGTGATTTACATACTCTCTAATGGGCACACACTGTCATTCACCATTGAGTGCCCAATGGCAAATTCTGGTATTGTAAAGACCACCATTATTACACACTTTAAAGAATTCCTCTTCACCCTCAGCTTGGTGGGGATGTTGCCACCCACTTTTCTAGCTTCATAGTTGACTTAGGCTACAAAATTTTTTTTCTGGTAGATAGTAAACAATGACAGCATATTTGTTCATTCTCCTCACCTAATGTGTAGAGAGGAGAAAGGCTGTTTTCTGAAGGGGTGAGCTAGGACATAGGTTCCACTCTATTGGAAATACCTCTCTGTGTTGCAGGTAGATAAAGATTGCCTAGACATTTATTATCGCAGGTTTCTGCAGACTGTGGGTTCTTGGATGCTTCTGTCTCCTAAGCTAATACCTGTCCTTCTTGAACCTTGTCCCCAGTGGAGCCTTCCCATATTAGGATTGGATCAAGTGGACAAGTTAAACTGTTTGGTAGAATCAGCAGCAGCCCAGTTCTTTAACTAGAGTTTTGACACATTTGGGTCTTCTCTAATCAAATGGCCATATTTCTTTACCACAAAACCCTTACCCATCCCTCCTGAAAGAAGCCATGTCCGTGTACCATTTCTCACATAGCTATCTCACCATCAGTGTGATGCTTACTCAAAGTCGTTCAGTTGACTTCAAACACGTTATTTATCCTAGGCTGCTCCCTGCCCCTAATTTGATCACAAACAGGAATCTCTTTTCTCCATAGCAACAATACAGACCATGGGAGCACACCTGAAGAGACTTTAGGAAAATAGTAAAAAGGCTAACCAGTGATTTCTCTATTGATTGTTTTAAGAAAATGAAATCAGATTCTAGAAGGGATTTTCCTTCCTACCGCTGTTGCCTGACCTCCACCCCACATCTCCTGCCTTCCATACAAATATCCTTTTCAGCTCCGTGCTGTGCTTGCTTCATTCCAAGGCAGAAAAATTAGTCATGATCAAACTGCTACTGGTGCTTAACATTTTCCCATTAGTTCTGTGTACATGCAGAACTTGAATGAACAACTTGTGAGCGACTCCCTTAATTCACTGAGATTCAGCAGCTCAGTGTTTTGGAAGCTTCTCATATAACACTTCCCCCTTGGTAGCTACTAGATTTTGGTTAGTATATTTATAATTACAGGGAGAGTGGGGCGGAATCATATGCTAGGGGAGGAAGCTAGAAGCTTCTCTGAGGGGATGATATTCACCATTGGAGCTCACAATGGAGAGATGGTGACACTTTGTGCCCTTCTCTAGAGAAAAACTTAACTAAATTGTGGGTCAACAACTGCTGCCCAGCATATTCAAGCAATAGCTGCTGCCTCAAAGTATTGCCATTCTTGTCCCATTTTTAAAAGCTTTTTAGGACATTCCAACTTACTATGTTTAACTTTAGAATACA